AGTGGAAAGTAAACAGGCTATTTGCTGCTTAAAAAAAACACGCTTATAATTAGGTTATAAAGAATGGTTGAAAATAACAAGGTAGGAAAAGAGAAGAAAAATACCAGGCAAAGGAAAAGTAAGTGGGAACAGAACCAACATGGTGATGGGCGCCTGGGTGGCTCAGTTGGTTAAGCGTCCGACGTTCGCTTAGGTCATGATCTCGCGGTTCGTGGGTTCGAGCCCCGCGTCGGGCTCTGTGCTGACTGCCAGCTCAGAGCCTGGAGCCTGTTTCAGTCTGTGACTCCCTCTCTCTCTGACCCTCCCCTGCTCACGCTGTATCTCTCTCTCTCTCTCTCTCTCTCTCCTAGAAATAAATAAAACATTAAAAAAAATCAATATGTACAAAACAAGTAATATATAAAGCAAAAGCATTCAAAATGGAATAGAATTTGATATGTATATTATTAAAATAAAAGCCTACAATAGGATTTTTTTTTCAGAATGAGATAGATCTGGTCAACACAAAATATGCAGCATATATTTACCAGATTGATGATTTGTCTGGGTATCAAGAAAACCCAGTTGTCAGAATAAAATCCAATTAAATTAGAAACAAAGTTTTTAATAAAAACCTGGGGTGCCTGGGTGGCTTAGTCAGTTAAGTGTTCAACTTTTGATTTAGGCTCAGGTTTGTGAGATTGAGCCCCACACTGGGCTCTGTACTGACAGCATGCAGCCTGCTTGGGATTCTCTCTCTCCCTCTATGTCTGCCTCTCCCTTGCTCACACATGCATGTGTGTGCTTGCTCTCTCTCTCTCTCAAAATGAATAAGTAAACATTAAAAAAATTTAAAAAGAGAAAAACCTCAAGTACTCTAATATTAGGAAACACTCTCCTCAAGAGCACTTGTATCAAAGAAGACATAAATGTGGAACAATTAGCTATAAAGGAATCAACAAAAAGAAAACACTTTACAGCTGACAAAGTATTGTGCAAGTTTTACTAGTATATCAGTGCCTTTGTGGCAAGATTTTGTGTTTATGTGTTCCTAAATCAGAGTACACAATAAGAGTTCAATAAATATTTATTTGCTGAATACAAAGCAAAACTAATGGGGCACAACAAAAACATTATTCAGATGAAAACAAAATATTTGGTACTCACCATCAAAAATCATAAAAAGCATGACAAATTAAAAAAAATTAGAAAGTTGAAATTAATAAATGGGCTCCCCAAAATAATTGTTAATGAAAACCATAAATCCAAAGCTGATATTTTGAAAATATTAAGATTATTAATTAATCTGATCAAGAAAAACAAAAGAAGGAAACACAAATGAGTTTAGACTTGAGAATGGAACCATAGACAAAGGAAAGTGAAAATAATTAGCAGAAAATATCACATGTAATTCTATGACTTTAAATTTATAAACCTCTTAGGGGCGCCTGGATGGTTCCGTGGGTTAAGCATCCAACTTCAGTTCAGGTCAAGATAGATCTCACCCTGAGTAAGCTGACAGCCCAGAGCCTAGAGCCTGCTGCAGATTCTGTGTCTCCCTCTCTCTCCACCCCTACCTGGCTCATGCTCTGTCTCTCAAAAATAGATAAATGTTTTTTAAAAAGTTAAATTTGTAAACCTTTTGAAAAGGATTATTTCCTAGCAAAAGAGAAAACTATTAAATTTGACCTCAAGAAGAAATTGAAAATTTTTTAAACTGTAAAGGTAAAAAGGAAAAAGGGTATATTTTTTAAAGTGCAATTCCACGAGGTGATTCAAAAGAGCAGAGTTTGTAAGCATTGATCTGAAAAATTATATATATATAACATTGCTATGTTTGTATCTATTTCAGTTAGCATCCCTCCATAAAACGGTTACAATTGCCAAGAAGAGAAACTTTCCCAGGGTCTAGAAAAGGGGCCAATGGGCGTATACTAATACCTAGCAACTCCTTAGAGAGGCTTTCCCACAAAAGTATATGCGGCTATGATCAGGAATCATAATCCTGTAATGGTGAAGGTTTGAAAATAATCTAACTGGGAAAACAGTCTCCATGGGAAGGGGTTGGACAAACACACTGTAATGCATTCAACCGAATGCTTTTATGCGGCAGTTAAAATGGATACAGCTCAAAAATGTGTTGAGTGAAAAAAAAGCAAGTCGTAGAAAAAAATTTGTATATGAAACCAGTTATGTAAATTTTTAGGATAATCAAGATAGTGACTCTACATTTGTTTCAGACAGGTATGCGTGTAATGAAGGATAAGGGTATGGAGCAAATATACAGTTACATCACAGGAATTGTCTGTAGAGAGAAGCAGCAGCAAGAACCTTAGAAAGGGACAGATAGAAACCTCCACTGTAATTTTCACCATTTAAAAAGAGATCAAAGATAAATATGACAAGCTGTCTATATCATTTAAAATTCTGGAAATAAGCAAAATTCTGTATAAATCTTAGCCAAAGTCCTAAATTTATATTGCCTCCCAAAAGCTCTTTCTGCATTCCTTTCCTCCCTTAGTTCCCAGTTTCCTGAGAGGCACCCAGTGCTGTCTCCTTCCCTATACCAACACTCCAAAACCAATCTGATATCTGCTGTTGGCATTTACAGTAATTTAAAGCAGCTTCTTACTCTCAGAAATATCTAATTATCTAATTGTTGAATCTGGATCTGTCTGTACTTCCCAAACATTAACATAGCAGAGAAGGTAGTTGAATCTTTGTAATTGTAGTGCTCTCTTCCTGAGACTCTAGTTTTCCCTAGACTCCTGGAATCACATCTGCGAGGCAACCTTTTATATCCCTGTGCGTAATTCAAGTCCGGCTCAATAGAAAGCAATTAACTTGAGTATTGTTTTATTATCAAATTAATGTGAGAGACTTGCATAGGGACATTCTAGTATTCACAATACCTCATATAATTGCATAAACACATGTCTCGGTTCCCTAGATGGATAGGGTGACCAAGCACACGACAACTGTTTTACTTAGACAAGAGTTTGCTGGTGAGTATGTGTTTAGAGAAATACAGGTATGTAATTAGGCACTTGATACTCTCAAGGCTGCTTCTTCCTCAAAAGGACCAGGAAGCTACTTCTCTAAATAGTGCAAGCTGTGGAGCAGGATACAACTTTTTGGCTGTGCACACATGGGCAGATTGCCACTGGCTGGAACAGAAAGCTTAGTAACTTATCCATTAGCATGGATTTAGACTTTTTGCCTCAGCTTTTTTCAAATAAGTTTTAACATAATTCAAGATTCCCTTAATGACTACAAAAACATACACTTTCTAATACGTCTGGTGAATGTACTTAGATTTCTGTACCTCTTAGTAGCAGGTAGTACACAATTTATAATATTTAATAACTAAAAGCTTGGTTGACTATAGTTTCATTAGTTTTTTTTTCTTAATTAGTTCATTACACTTATTTATAATATCTGAACATTTCTTAGAAAAATTAGAAACTTCTGTTTCTATTATAATTAAGTCAGATAAATGACTCATGAAAATGTTAGAATCAGAGGCGCCTGGGTGACTCAGTTGGTTAAGCCTCCAACTTCAGTCCAGGTCATGATCTCAGGGTTCCTGAGTTCAAGCCCCATATTGAGCTCTCTGCTGTCAGTACAGAGCCTGCTTTGGATCCTCTGTCCCCCTCCCTCTCTCTGCCCCTCCTTTGCTCATGATATCACTCTCTCAAACATAACCTTTGGGGCGCCTCAGCGGCTCAGTGGGCAAGGCGGTTAAGCATCTGACTTCAGCTGAAGTCATGATCTCATGCTTCATGAGTTCAAGTCCTGCATCCAGCTCTGTGCTAACAGCTCAGAGCCTGGGGCCTGTTTCAGATTGTGTCTCCTTCTCTCTCTGCCCCTCCCCCACTCCTGGTCTATCTTTCTGTCTCTCTCTCTCTCAAATAAATAAACATTAAAAAATATTTTAAAATAAACTTAAAAAAATATTAGAATCATACTGATAATTTAAATATATAATACAAGTTATATGTTCAATTACCTAACTTTAAATGATTGCTTTTGGAAATAGTGCATTTACAGGTATAATATATCCATGCATTATTGCTCCTTAAATATCAATATCCATGTTTTAGAGCAGAAAACTGCTTAAATAGTTTAGAAATAAAATTATATTATATACTCAGAGTGGCTTGTGTTAATTTATGTAACTTTTTGGTTGGAAATATACTCATCTAACCTCCAGTTTCAAAAATATTTTATATTGTGGGTGTAATATCAAGACGTTTTAATCTTATTCTAAGAGAAAATACTTGATAGCTCTGTGAAAACTGTTGTAATACAGAGAAATTATACTAGCATTAGAGTTAAAAAATTCAAATAGATATATTTATTCCTATAATCAGTTACTACAGAATCATTGTTATTTGATATATAGTAGAAATAAAATGTGAAACATTCCTCTGAAGGCAAAAGTATACAATTACATTTCCGTAAGACTGAGGCAAAATAGGGGTGCCTGGGTGGCTCAATCAATTAAGTGTGCAACTTCAGATCAGGTAATGGTCTCATGGTTCATGAGTTCAAGCCCTGTGTCAGGCTCTGTGCTGACAGCTCCGAGTCTGGAGCCTTCTTTAAATTCTGTTTCCTTCTCTCCCTGCCCCTCCCCCATTTGCATTCTGTCTATCTCTCACTCTCTCTCAAATATAAATAACCATTTAAAATTTAAAAAAAAAGACTAAGACAAAACAAAGCAAACATTCACCTCTAAACTCTCCATATACATCCAAATAATTTGCAAACTTTAATTTATGGATAAATCTAAAATGGAATACTTATGAAATACATTTATCTGAATATCAAATATACTCCCCTAAATACAACTCTTACTTAGACTAAAACTCTGATGGAATTAAGTAAGCATTTCTGTAGTTATTCAGAAAGATGAGTGACTCCTAAACAAAACATTAATGATAATGAGCACTTTGGCTCTGAATAAATGTGTTAATCTCTTTTCCCTTAACAAAATAAAAACGAAAATGGAATTCTTCAAAAGCACATATGTCAATGCTCACTTCTGCAGAAACAATACAGAGAAGATTAACATGGCCCCTTTAAAGGATGACACACAAATTCCTGAAAAATTATGTTTTGTAAGATACAGAAGCAGCCCAAGTGTCCATCGATAGATGAATGGATGAAGATCATATATATAGGTATATACATGTACAGATATGTATATGCATATGCATATATGTATATGTATATATTTTTTTCTCTGAATATTATAATTACTCAGCCACAAAAAAGGATGAGATCTTGCCATTCGTAGCAACATGGATTCGTAGCAACATAGAGGGTATTACGCTAAGTGAAATTAGTCAGACAGTTGATAGATAACACCGTATGATTTCATTTATATGTGGAATCTAAAAAAAAACCCAAATGAACATACAAACAACAATAACAACAGAACCCGACCTATAAATGCAGAGAGCAAATTGATGGTTGTTGCAGGGGAGTGGGGAAGGGGGATGAGCAGGATGAATAAGGGAGAGTGAAAGATACAGGCTTCCAGTTGTGGAATGAGTGGGTCACCATAATGGAGAGTGCAGAATAAGGAATGTAGTCAATGGCATTGTAATAGGATTGTATGGTGACAGATGGTGACTCACACTTGTGGTGAGCATAGCACAGTGTATAGCGATGTTGAATCACTATGTTATACACCAGGAGAGAGTGTAGTGTTGTGTGTCAACTATGCTCAAAACAAAAACAAAAACAAAAGCAGTGTATTATCAACACTGAATTATGCTATAGGTAAAAATCTGCCTTGTTCCATAAAGATTTTAAAATAAATGGTTCTAGAATTCTTTAGAATGAATGTTTTAAAAGACTGAACCCTTGACCTTGCTGGAGAGGGCACGGTCATGTCTCAATGAATGGCAGAAAAGTCACTGTCTTACTGTGTCAACAAAACCTTCCAGAAATCTGCTGTCTAGGGTGTCAGAGAAAGCTATTCACAGGGAGACATCTTCCCAGAGTCATTCTGCTACAAAACCACCAGGGGAAGCTGCTGGCAGTTGAGTTGTGCTGACCACCAGGCACTGCAGGAGGCAGAAGGTGGAGAAGCTGCTGACGTGTGCGGATACACTGGCACCTGGAAGCAGAGTCCTTTTGTCCTTCAACGTCTCTCCTTCATCTACTTGCAAAGCGTCGATGCTTGGTGGCAATGGAAAAATTCCTGGGGGCCCAAATCTGTTTTTGCAGAGCAATATAAAAGAGTGAATTTGGAAGTGGGAGGCTCTAAATCAGTAATGATTACATTTAGTCAGGTCACATCCACATGGCTGTCCTGATTTGTGTGCAGCGTTCCCCTAACTAGAGATCTAGAGGCCCTGGCGTTGTCTTCTGTGTGATTTCCCTGTCTTCTGCATGCAGTGTTCAATGTCACAGCACTTGGTTGTATCAAATCAGTCAAAGGAGAAAGATCAAGAAGAATGTCATGAAAAAGTTTCTAAGAGCAAGGTCCAGAAATGGCAGGTACCATTTCTACACACACCTCATCGGCAAGAACCCAGTCATATGCTCACACCCAATTGTCAAGATAGGCTAGGAAATGTAGTCAAGCTGGTGCCCATGAAGGAGAAATGGTTTTGGTGACTAGTTAGTCTCTGTCACAGATTATTTCTCTTAATTTTTGTTATTTTATTACTCCTGGAAGCAATGCATCTTACTGCTGGTCATCATTACCCTTGGCTTGGATGATAGTAACATATGTGTGTAATATCCCCAGATGTCAGGTGGGGCCCCTCCAGCCCATTAAAATCTGATGATAATGGTAATTATGTGCATACATATTGGGATGTCAGCTAAGATTCCTCTGCCCACTGAGTTCCATATAAAATTTGCCCAAATCCCTAGTTTCATACTCTGGAGAAGTCTGCAAATTCCCAGAGTTCTCATATTCTCATGGTCTTCTCCATGCCTAACTTCTGCTTTCACACATACTGTTGCCATCCCTCACTGCTTTGATCCAGATATGAAATCCAAATTTTTCATCAATGTCCACCCCCAAAAAATTCATTTAAACACACACACACACACACACACACGGAAGATTTTCCTGAAGATTTGAGAATGACAAGTTTAAATTATAGCAGGAGGAATCATTTTAAACTACATTCTAAGCAACATCCTGTCCTTTACTACAGACAAAAATTTCTGAGGCTCTTTACATCATTTGGTTTTCTTCTTCACATCATCTCGCCACCCCTTTTTCCCTTGAGTCTCTTCACCTCTCAAGAGGAAAACCGAGCCCCTTCGCTTTATCATGCAAGAACAACTTAACCATTTTTATTAGTTGTTTCTTAAGTTCCTACTGACATCAGTGTTCTTGGGAGTTTTATTTGCCATCCCCAGGGACTCTAAATACGCTCTAAGAGAAATCTATGTGCTGATTGTTAAAGCTAAATTTTTTACATTATTCCATATAAAGTCAAAATGACTTGATTACTGACTCTTCTAAGAGTTCTGCCAGATCAGCTTTCCCAATGTATGTTCTATGGTGCACCAGTCCTAGGAGGTAATCTGCAGACTAAACAAACAAACAAATAAATAAATAAGCAAGATCTATGATCAAGTAATTTTAAGAACTCTTGCATACTATAATCCCCTTCTTGGAAATTCATAATGCATATTCAGCATATTGAAAGCTGGGAAGTCATGTACCTGTTTAACTGTCATAGTGGCTAACTTCCTTGATGACATAACCTTTTTTGCACATAATACCTTCTACTAGACAGAATATACAGAATGTAGAAAGTCCTTTCTAGCTATAATGTTCTGAAACTATCATTCTTAAGTACCTATATGACTAATGACAAATCAACCATTAAAAAATAAATCAGTGCATGGGGCGCCTGGGTGGCTCAGTCGGTTAAGCGTCTGACTTCGGCTCAGATCATGATCTCACAGTTTGTGGGTTCTGGCACCACGTCGGGCTCTGTGCTGACAGCTAGCTCAGAGCCTGGAGCCTGTTTCAGATTCTGTGTCTCCCTCTCTCTGACCCTCCCCTGCTCATGCTGTCTCTCTCTCAGAAATAAATAAAACATTTAAAAAAAAAAAATCAGCACAACAGCCTGTCCAGATGGGAGCTGTCACACACATTTTTTTACTGCAGGAGCCCTCTCTGCTGACCACTGTCTCCTCCCAGAGTTTAAGTCATCTGGTTATTCTAAGAGGGTGAGGCAGAGACTTTCAGACACTAATCAGAAATGACCAAGAAAAAGTAAAAGCAATTTTCCCAGCCTGTGCTCCTATTTCTCAACTTTCATCTTCACCAAGGCTACTTGAGGCAGGGCTTTGGCCGTCTGACTAAAACAACGTCCCCTCCCTCTTTCCTCTTTGTATTTATGCACTTGAGGTTTTCTGTGTTCTCTTGAGGTAAGTTGCTTCTGCTCCCTGCACTCCTCCCCAATATTTAAACTTTCTCTAACCCTGCTCTTTTGATCCTTTTGGTTAAAAATCCACTTGTTTGTAATGTAATCAAATTTTATAGCAAGTCAGCAGTCTAGACAGTAGGTGACTTTTGTTGGCCCTTCTAACCTTGACACTATGAAGTAGTTTGACTTTTGCTCTAGGAGAACATATTGAGTAGGCAACTTAAAAATACTTCTTAAATGAGAAATACTACTGGGTAGCATGATTCACTTCAGCATTGTCACCAAGACACAGGCCCGCATTTTCACCATTTTGAAAGTGTCTTGCAAATCACAAAGTGTGATATAAATACAGTAAATCATTAGTACTTCCTGTCACTTTCTTTGAGAAAATATTTATGTCCGCTGTTTGGGTACTTCAGATTTTGAATTAAATGTATTGAAGTCTCCTGTAGGATAAATTAATTAACTTTTTTTAAAAAGGTAGAAGTCTTACTGACCAGAAGTTCTTTGCCTGATACATGTGTTGCAATTATTATCGCCCAGCCTAATGGCTTGCCTTTCATTTTCTTAATGAAAATGCTTTTTAAATAGCAGTGTTTAAAAATTTTTAAGTTTAATTTATCAAATTTCTTCCAGAATATTTGTAGTTTTAGCTTTTGTGTTTAAGTCTATAATCCATGAATGTTTGTGAATGATATGAGCTAGAGATCAAGATTCATTATTTTTCATATATTTATTTGGTTGTTACAGCACCATTTGTTTAAAAAATTTCCTTTCTCCATTGAAACGCTTAGTGCCTTCATTAAAAATCTATTAACCATAAATGGTGGATCTGTTTCTGAGTTCTATTCTGTCCCATTGAGTTATTTTTCTATCTTTATTCTAATATCATAGCCTTAATTACTATAACTGTAGAGTAAGTCTTGAAATTAAGCAGTATAAATCCTCCAACCTTGTTCTTTTTCAAGATTGTTTTGTTTATTCTAGGTTCTTTTATATCAAAATTAATTTTAGAATCACTTGATTTATATTTACAAATAAATAAATGCAGGACTATTATTGTTTTAAGTGGGAATGCATTAAATTTCCATGTCAATTTGAGAAATTTACATCTTAAGAATATTAGATGATATCATCTATAAAAATGGTATAATCCTTCATTTGTTTATGTTTTTAAAATTTCTTGGGGCTCCTGGGTGGTTCAGTTGGTTGAGCGTCTGACTTCGGCTCAGGTCATGATCTCACGGATCATGGGTTCAAGCCCTGTGTTGGGCTCTGTGCTGACAGTTACCTCAGAGCCTAGAGCCTGCTTCAGATTCTGTGTCCCGCCTCTCTCTCTGCCCTTCCCTCGCTCATGCTCTGTCTCCCTCTGTCTCAAAAACAAATATAAAACATTTTTTAAAAAACCCTAATCTTTTAATCTAGTGTTATTCCATGCTCAAATTCAGATTATAAGTTTATAAAAATCATTTTAAGCCAGTGTAGAAAATATATTTGTAAGGCACAAAAACTGATTAATAAATCCAGTATCTATGTTATAAAATTTATATACATTGCCACCTCCAAATCTTTTAAATCCTGTAACTATCTTCTCTTCCTTCCCAAATTCCTAAAGTCCTTATTTTCATACCTTTTCTTTTTTCTCCCTAATCTTTAGTATTCTTAATGTCTTCCCATACATTGATTATCTTTTTTCTATTTTCTTTCTCCAA